TTATCCTACAGAAATAAATAAGAGTCAAAGTGCAAAATTTAAACTCTCATAACTTCGAAATTTTTATAGATAGAATTTTTTTAATTTTTTTTTTATGTTCCTGGTACCTTACCCTACATGGCATTTGTCTTTGGGGCGCGAGTTCTGGCGCACTCTGTATGTGCATATGATGTAGAACGTTACTCCTTCAACTTTTAAAATCGCGATATCTCAGGAATGGTGATTCTTGGAAAAAAAAGTATAAAGACCATTTTGTAGATAATTTTAAGATCTATAATTTTCGTGTGAGCTACTTTTTTGATAAAACTTGCCGTTTTCGAAAAAAATCTAAAAAACGTCAAATATTGACCTTTGACCCCGAATAACTTTTTTAGCACACATGGGATCGATGGGGACTTTTGACACTTTATTTCTAATGGTATACCCAAGGTCTCCACCAAAATTTAGCTCTGTCGGAATTTTCGTTATTTGACCACTATTTTTATGACTAATTTGACCGGACTAATAGGGGAGTTCTGAAATCAGCTGAGAGCAGTGGCGTGTATTCGCACTTATTTATTCGAGGAAAACAAATAATCCACATACTGTAATAAAAATATTTTATTACTTTATTAATAAATAACATTTTTAAGGCATCTAAGCAAGTTAAATAACTTTTGAAACACTAACTGATATTAGAGTTATACTTTCAACTCTTTCAATTTAATAGACACTTTTGTTTGACAAAAATGATAAAAAGCTAATACAATACACAATGCAATAACTCCAAGAAATAAATCGATTTCTATAGGTACTCACATTTTTTAAGGTATACATTTGATCTTTAATTATCTCGTTTAGGTGTAAAGGTTACCAGCTATACCAAACGTTGTAATTTAAAAACCTATTAAAAACGCACCCGTTTCAGGTATAGCTTTTTTACATAGTATTTCTCGACACATGTTTATAGAAAACTTTTGTCTTAAAATTTAACTTGTAACAATAAAAACGGAATATCCTGTATATACATACATAATAACTTGATAACTTCGTACTTGCGGCAATATAATGTTGTGAAATCAACTGTAAAGTTTTGGATTTGATGTATGGGCCTAAACTTTTTTTCATATCTTTCAAACGAAAATTAAAACATTGACAAAAATGAAACAAAATTATGAGGTCTAAAGATTATGAGATAGTGATATAATTTGACAAATTAAAAATCCGAGATTGTTTGAAGTAAGTCGATAATACAAAAAATTCTTTAATATAATTTTTTTATTACAAGAGTCATTGATTGGTCGCTAAGAATTTGAGGGTTCATCTTCTTACAGTCAATAGACTAGGTATGAAAACAAAACATCACTAAAAAATGTTTAATATACCTACTTATTAACAGGGGCATCTTATAAATGTTAACTTTGAAAAATTAATTAAAATTAATTATGATACAAAAATTGTTTTTTAATATGTTTACATTTCTAATAAACGAATCTATTCGTTACTGTTTGTTCGTATTTTATTTATACAGAAATTAATATCACGGTATTTTGAAATAATCGTGGAGCATCCTATGAATTTTTTATATTTAATATCTCAGTCAATGAATATACGAAAAAAAAATGCAACTCTACAATTCCCTTTTTATCACAGAATGGTTCTGTGTTACGCCACTGGCTGAAGTTTCCCCACTACACCGAGTACGCATTGGCTCCGCCTATCGATATCCTTCTTGAAGTCTATGAACTTTACACGATGGTTACAAAGAAAAAAAAATTACTCGTAGGGTTTTTCTTAGATTACTTCGATCTACTTCGAACTTCTTCGAACACTATTCGAAGAAAAGTTTGCCAATATTCAATTTCAAATTGCATATCATTCTATAGGGCAAGTCCATCCCTTTAGAATGGTCTTTATTTGAAGGAAATCGGCATAATAGTTATTGAGTAATGATTTTTTAAAGTTAAAGTATTTTAAATTCATTTAAATTAGAAAAAAAATATTTAGTTCAAAGTGTGTGGACTTTTTGAAATTTTTTTAGTGCATTTGATTTGTGTTACTGTCAAATTTGTCAAGTTGTCACATGACTTTTTTTTGTCGCCTTGTGTTATCGAGTGGATTTTCTACTTACAACTCTTGACGCTGTTTCCTCAGCCTCGCCTTCCAATCAGCTAATTCAACAGCCAAATGATTCGACTCGACTACTTCCACCGCCGAACTACTCGGACTATTAAGTGGAATTTCTTGGCCCAAATCTGACATCCATTGATTCAACAATTTGTCTCTTTCACTGGTCAAGGTACGAATATGATTGTACAATTTTTGTGATGAATGCTCSGAYTGATCCAAAGTGAGCACAATAGTTTGATCATCAGTGACCTAAAATTTTGCAATTGTAACAACCACCAATACAAAATTGCAACTACATCACCTGTTTGATACACTCGACAATATCATGTTGTGTGTCAACGGGAAGTTCTTTGATTTTTAAAATGAAATGTTCTTTTGTGGGGCCTTGGACGGCACAACCAAGTAACAAAAGGACGAGGAGTTTTAACTGTTCTAATGACGTTTCGGAAGCAGGGGAGCGGCCTAAAGCCACGCAATCGGGTAATGAGATCACAATCTGGCCCAATTCTTCCTACAATACACATTTATGGCAAAAAATTCGGAAAAGAAGGGACGATTTTGGCCCTTAAAGACGAGAAAATTCTGAGAAACTTTTCTTTTACTTTTTTAAGTTACAACTAATAGTTTTGTGTCTTGTTTAACAACACTGAATTGTTAATGTTAATTTATCATTATAACTCGTTTTCATATTAATTTACATTGAAAGATGGCAACCATGCGAAAATTCAAACAATCCTATCCTCAATCTTCCCTAAAAATATTTTTTTCTAACAAATGTATACCGCAGGTGGCAAAAAATAATTAAAATTAACAACGTAATTAGCAAAGTGTGGAAAACATAACGATTTTTGTCATTATTGATATCATTAAATTTGTTCTGAATAATATTAATGACATTTTTTGTGTCAATGCATTTAGACTTCTACAACCTACTTGATGCACATTAATATGAAAAAGAGTATAAAGTCTGTTTTTTTTTTAATGGAAATTACCAAGTCAAAATTTTGGTGAAAAAATTGGTAGCAGCTTGTCTCCATAGCCACAAATCTTGTTTGCTCTTTGTTTTTGTCCCTAGAAATTTTGTTAAGAAATTATGGTTATGTGTTCCATTTGAGATGTTGTCAAAATTTTGACTTTTATGAATCTTGTGTGCCTGTTTGCTCTTTGAAAGCGCTATAATTGAATACAGACATCATTACCTAAGGTCTAAAGACAGAATTCAGTGCTAATAATTTTGATAGAAACACACCGCAAGTAAGCACACAATGTTGTGGACAAAAATGAGATTCTTGCTACAAAAACTTTGAAGAAAAAGGATGTATATACAGTAAAGTTATTTAGCAAAAGACACAAGTAGGTATTATAATGATTGGCAATAAATTTTGTGTAATTTATTGAAAGGAGCTCAAAGTTGATGCACTTTATAAATTCTTCTTCAGCTTTAGTTTCAAAATTGTTACTTGTTCAAGTCGTTCCTCAAAAACGATGCACAAGACACTAATTTAATTGCGTTCTTTTCGAGGTTCTTTCTCATTCGTGTTTATTATGTATTCTTGTCAATTTTTTGCTAAAAATTAAGAATGTTTAGCAAAACTGCATTACAAATTGCGTCTACATTTTAACGGGCCTTTTTTCTAACTTCCTGCTTGCGAACTATTCGTTTCCAAATTTCTAAAAACTGTTAGCGGTACCGAATTTGTTTCTTTTTTGGTGTTTCATCTCTAAATTTTTTGTGTTGACGTTTAATGACATTGTTTTCAAATTAATTCAAAAAACCGGAACTGCCAACTTCCTTTATTAAAATTACCATGAAAAAATGAATAAAAAACAGACTTTACTTCTGTCTACATTTTTCAATGTTGCCAATTTAATTTCAAAATCATAGGCCACTACGTGTGTTAATAAATCTCCAAAGTACCTCATAAATATTCTTGATGTTTCGAATAATGCTGTTAAATATCTTTATCCTCGCAAATGTAATATTAACGCCCTGGAAGTTTGAAAGTGAAGGCACTGGTTGTAGCGGTTCAGGGTCGATTTGTAAGAGCACTTCTGTGATAGGACTGCCATCAAAAAAAGTATCATAGACTTGTAACGTTTCAGGTTTTCTCACACATGTTGCAAGCTGGAAATTGCAAAAAACAGTTTTGTACTATTGTACTCTAAAAAACTCTTACCCAGGTAACTAAAGGACCCCCTAGAAACTCCTCAATAGCTGTTGCAGACGCTGCCATTTTACTTGAGCAATTCAAAGTGTTGCATTCTGTTGTAAAACAATGCAAAATGGACAAGTGGAAGCCCTTTTTTTTCTATATAAATAGTTGGGTGCTCACGTGTTTCATGTCATTTCTCACACATGTAGAGAAATAATTGTGAATTGAAACAATGGACGATTGCACATTTTCAGATGTAAACACTTGAAGAAGATGGTGTTCAATGCCATTAAGTCTCACTGGGTTTTTTTTATAAATTAATTAAATGGATATTATATCACAACGGTATTATAAGTTTTTCACTCTCATTTCGTTCAGGAAAGAAATATTTATTATAAAATAACTAACCGTAAAAAATAAATAATTAAAATAAACACAGACTATCCATTATCAAAACTGTCAAATGTCAATTATTAAAATTAAATAGAAAACTGTAATGATAAATGAATGCAGCTCCATCTGCGGTCGAATTTCGTTTTTAATTAAGTTTTTTAATGTTTGAAACACTCCATAATTAAGTATTATAGTAAAATTTGGCATAATACACTTGCATAAAACACATTTTTTTTCCAAACTATGGAATTTTTTTAATGGAAACTGTACAACGTAGAACAAAAAATGAGACATTAAATTTTAACATTTCCGGAAAATTCACTGGAAAGCAGGTTTTAATGTCAAATTTGACTTTTCGAAAGCTCTAAAATATCAAAATGCCAGGAACATTACTAACAACTAATAAAGGCCGTTTCCCATTTTTTTGTCCAGCATAGTACGTCAATGCTATCACAGACAGATTTTTTTGTTGGTTATAGATGAATTACGGCTATTTCTATTGTTGTATTGCTTCAGAAGAGCTCTTTATTTCTTTGAATTAAGTATTATAGTAAAATTTGGCATAATACATCACTTGAAAAAAAAAACACATTTTTTTCCAAACTATGGATTTTTTTTTAATGGAAACTGTACAATGTAGAACAAAAAATGAGACATTAAATTTTAACATTTCCAGAAAATTCACTGGAAAGCAGGTTTTAATGTCAAATTTGACTTTTCGGAAGCTCTAAAATATCAAATGCCAGGAACATTACTAACAATTATTAAAGGCCGTTTAATTACATTTAATGATCTGACTGTCCCATTTTTTTGTCCAGCATAGTACGTCAATGTTATCACAGACAAATTTTTTGTTGGTTATTTGTTGTATTGCTTCAGAAGGGCTCTTTATTTCTTTGAGTTGTATAAAGTTAATGTTATTAATAACAAGTATTAATTTTTCTTGATAAATATGTATTTTCGGTAAGAAACCATCCGCTAACATGTAATTTTGAGACGCCCTGTTCTTTTTTAGAAAAAAATATTGATTGCTAATCAACCAACCAAAAATAAGTTGTTAACAGTTTTTTTTCTAATTATTATTATTTTAAAAAATACAAACAGGTGTTTGGGCCAAAATATTTTTTATTGAGAAAATTGTTCAGGGGTGCATATATTTTAAAATAACCGCTTTCTTTGCACTCATGGTCGCCAACCCAATATTTGTTCTCACTCTTGGCCCGATTCCTTTAAATGGTGATTGCTTGTTTCTTGAACGTGATTGGTTGATTTGACAGTTTTCTTGTTTTCTTAAATGAATTAGTAGTGGTACATCAAGTGTTCAATTAATTTTAATTTTTTTCTACTATTTTATGCAGTTTAAAATATCTTTTCTTCTTACTAACTGGTAAGGACTGAAATGTTCACAGTTACACAGTTTATTAACCTCTGTTTCTTCGTGTCTACAACTAAATTAAAACATGTTTTTTTTTAATTTTCAGTTCCTACTTCCTACTGTATTTTTGAACGGATTGGAATTAGTTGTATAGCAAAATGTCACCAATTCCGATGCCAGGGTAAGCATTCTGTAGTATTACGCAACTGTTAAAAGTTTATAGACAAATTCATTAAAAAGTAGGCGTTGCCTTTAGTTGGTTTAAGTTCCGGAAGTTGTATCATTTCTATACCTAATAAAAGGTATGTTTGAAATTATCACTGTGTGTATAATTGATGCAGCATTGAGCATACTCTAATTATTCTTGATAAATCATTTTCAGTAGGTAGTGAATTTTGAAAAAAAACAATGTAACCTATATTAGAGGTATCATACATATAATGATGAAAATGATCCTATAGAAGGCTATGCCTTTTGTTTTTTTTAACCATTTTATGTTGGTAAAATGTAGAAAATATTACGCAGCCTTCTAGACATTTACATTTTCTCGATCATATGGTGTTTATATGTCAAGGTCATTTGTTACATAAAAATATTAATAATTAATGCATTAGAGCTATTTAATACAAATATTGTTTTCTGAATATGAGTGTCATCTGAACTGCTAAAACGAAGTGAATAATTATTTCAATAACAATCAATGTACAGGCTGTCTCACCTAAATCTTTCCAGGCTTATATCTCATTTACTAGTAGGGCAAAAACTTATTTTTTATAGTAGTTGATTATCTACCGTTAAATGTAACATCCAAATAAACCACACCATCATTGTGGGTTGCCAACCTGAAAAAAATTGCATATTTTGTTTTTCGCCATTAAAAATCCCATTTATTTTATACTTTAGTTTTGTAACATGTCTGACAATTCTATGGTCTGACATGAGTCAAAAACAATTATCCATCATTGATACATATTATACAGGGTGTTTCACACAACTTGCTTGCGCCTAAAGTACACACCCAAATATACAAAAGTCACAAAACACTGGATACAAAAAATACACATCTAATTATTTAATTTTTGGAAACCCATGACAGTAGTGTTAAACTAATCACTGTTTCATTTATAGTCATAAACTGCAGTTTTTCAGAAACAATTATCATTTGTTTTATCAAGAGACAAGATTTTGCAAAATAAATGAACCTCTGGTTCAAAAACGAACTAAGTCGGGCGAACAAACTAAAAAAATGATATCAATTTCGATTTAATTTTGTAATTTTTTTGTTGCAACGCAATATTTCCAACTTTTTTTATTTTTATCTCAATAACATGCTAAATATCCGAC